GTACACTTGCTAATTTATCGATCAACTCCCAAAAATTAACTCTATTTTCTACCCAAGTATTTCTCAACCTCTGCAATCTCTTCAATCTTTAATAAATGAATAACTCAAACTCAAAGTGTAAACAAGTGTTTCCCAATTCCAATTAACCTCAGATAACTCCAAAGCTTTCCAAAACCCTTTATAAGGTTTCCCTTGAGAATAGCCAAAACCACATGCTATGCCTTTAAACCTTTGCTCTCCCTTGTTTTTGTAAGCTCTAAGATTGTCACACTATAATAACATAAGAGATACATATTTATAATAGCCAAAATTCAACAAATCTATAACAAATTCCAAAACATATCTCCTTAATTGTTAGAATAAAATATATTATTATAATCTTATAATATCTCTCAAATATTATAAATATCTTATAATATCTCTTATACTATTATAAATATATATCTTATAATATCTTTTAGAATATTATAAACATATATCTCATAATATCTTTTAGAATACTATAAATATCTTGTAATATCTTTTTATATTAATTTATATGATCTCCAAATTAATATAAAATATTCTAACATTAATGAATGAATTAATAAACCGAACCGACCGAACCCGATATATCCGTAAATCGCTCGGACCAAATTACTTTTCGGCTTTCTGATTTTTGTGGCAATCTCAAAATATGTTTTCTTTATCTTCATCAACAAAGGTTTTAAGTCATATTCCAACAATCTCCACCTTGACTTTAAACTGTGTTGATACCAATTTAACCATCAATAACATTGTTGCTCTCTACCAGTGTTGAAACTCTAATCATTAACATTGATCAAATACAAACAACCATTGAATCTTGATATCGCCACTTGCACCCACTTGTTTCTAATTACCTTTTCCTGCCTAGGTAATTTAACAAGCCTACAAGTATGATTTTTCAACCACCCTTGACTCCACCTGTTTTCAAATGCCTCCTGAAGGTTTTTCTTCTTTTATTTTGCAGTTCTTCAGCCACATTAAAAACATAATCTCCAAGGCTAGCATAATTGCCCCTTTGAGATGCTACAATAAAACTCCTTACCTTATAATGAGTCAAATGATACTCAGAGATCTCTGTAACTGTTCCCTCACTAATACTAGTATCTATAATAGGAAACTCCACCTCAAATTGAGTTTTCTCTGTTATAGTTTCTCCCTTGGGTTTCATTATTCTCCCTCTTAAGAAATTCTCTGCCAACCAAGTAAGTTGTTTTAACCTCAGATCTTTCCCCAAAAACTCAATAACAACTCAGCGGTAACATGTATTTTTATCCCTTGATTCTACAAAATTCATTATACTCTTCTGAAACTTTCTCAAGACATTCATAATGCCTTAAACTCAAATCTCATAGTTCTTCCTTGTCATGAAAGTCTCCACTAGTTAACGATGAATGAATAACAACATTTGAACCTTCTAAAATATATAGACCACATATTTTAGACTCTTTAGTAATAATCAATTCATCACACAAAATCTTCAACACTCCATGTTCAACTCTAGTAGAATAGTGTAGATCATCAAACATACTTATAGATAACAAATTTCGCTTGAGTTATGGAACATACCTAAGATTGTGAATAAGAAGTTCACGATCATCAAACATTTTAAGACTGGCCGTACCAATACCATGAACCTTGCAAGTCTTATTATCACCAAAGCAAATAACTCCACCTTGAACCATCTTCAAAGTTTCACATTATTCTATTCTTGGACACATGTGATAAGAGCAATCTGAGTCAATGACCGAACTATCTTACGTTTCCAAACTCGATAATACTAGTACATCGGTATCCTCATAACTTTCCTCACCCAAGGCAACTACAACTTGAACAGAATCTTCATTGACCTTTCTCTCAGGACGATCCCTTTTAAAGTGACTGATTTTCTGACAATTAAAACATTTTAGCTTTGACTTATCAGACCTCTTTAATTTTGACATCCCTTTACGCTCACCTCCTCCTCTTGACACATTTAAGCCTTCACCACTATCTTCAATCTTTAAATCTTTCGACTTTGAAAATTCTTTAGATTTCACCGTCGTCTGGACTTCGTCCAAAGTAATAGTATCTTCCTTACCATAAAGAATGGCATCCTTAAAATTCTCAAACGATTTGGATAATAAACTCAACCGTAGTAAATCCTTGTCCTCATCATCAATCTTCACTTCAACATTCTCAAGATCATCAATAATCTTGTAAAATTTTGTAAGCTTCTCAACTATGAATTTATGCTCTACCATTCGGAATGAATAGAGTTGTTGTTTCAAAAATAACCTGTGACCCAAAGACTTTGTCAGGTTAGAAAATTATGAGTAAACTAAAATGGTCTCATTACCAAGTTGTTGTCAGGATTCTGAGGTATGTGAAGGAAACTATGAAGTATGGAGTGTTATTTCCTTCTAGAAGAAAGATCGAATCAGAATTTCTGAGTTATTCAGACTCTGATTGGTGTGGAGACAAAGTTGACAGGAGAAGTACTTCTGAATACTTATTCAAATTTCTGGGAAGTCCTATTTCTTGGTGTTCCAAGAAGCAATATGTTATTGCGTTGTCAACCTGTGAAGTTGAATATATTGCAGACGCTCTGACTGCATGCCAGACTGTGTGGATTCTGAACTTGTTGTAGGATCTGAAGATCGAGATAAACAAGCCTCTGAAGTTGATGATTGATAACAAGTTTGCAATCAATCTTGCCAAGAACCCGGTGTTGCATGGGAGAAGCAAATATATTGAGACCAAGTATCACTTTCTGAGGAATCAAGTTCAGAGTGGAATATTAGAAATTGGGCATTATAGCACCCAGAAGCAGCTGGCGGACGTTCTAACAAAGGTTATCAATACTGATCAATTTCTTCGTTTGAGGGATGGAATTGGTGTTGTCAGTTTTGTGTAAATGTAAATTAAAGGATAGTGTTGGAAATAATTTATATTTTAGGAATGTCTTGTTGACTAAGTTTGTTAGAGGATATTTTAGTATTTTATTATACCCTAATATTTATGTATAAATAGCTTAATAGTAGGTAGGTCAATGTAATTCATTTTTATTTTATAGCTTATAACTGTCATTCAATATATTTTTTTTTATTTTTCATATCTCTTTTGTGCGCCAACTGATAATACCTTGAAATTGAAGAAGAACCCGCCTAAGCTTTCTTTCTCTCTCTCTCTTTGCAAAGTTGTGATATTTCTTTATAGTATGAATCAGTTGTAGTAGAAATTTGTTGTGTTTTGAAGTATAAATAGGTCACAACAACAAACTACAGAGTGCTCGAAATGAAATACAATGTATCTCTTCTTCTTTTTAGGAATGTGGTATAACAACATGAGTCATATAATTTAAAGGCTTGTTTTCTAAAGACACTTTTTTTAGGATGTTTTAAGAACATGTAAGCTTTGAAATATACCATTAGATTTTGTACCAGTTTGGATTAAACCGATTTTGTATACATATGTTATAAATATGTTCAAATATTGGTCGCAAGAAAGTTTGAACTCAGGTGCATCTACTAGGACACTTGCTTTATTTATATATTAGTTTACATCAAATATATTATGTTGTTTATGTGTACTATTATGTATATATTAAATAGTAATATCGTAAGCTAACTATTAAATAAAAAAATTTAAATATTATTTTAAATAACTTTTCAATATGTTTATTAAAATAATATTGTTAATACTGATATTTAAATAATATTTTCCACCAATATTGTTAAATATTTTTACTAATACCGATATTTAAATAATATTGTTATTAAAATACTATTTAAAAAAAATTTATTTAATAGTTAGCTTACAATATTATTTCTAAATAAATTTTAAGTTAACTATTTTAAATAGTATTTTAAAATTTATTTAAAATCTTAAGCTAACTAATTAGATATTTATAATTATATTTAATTAATTAAACATAAATATAAATTATTCCAATAACATAAATATAATTAAAAAAAAATCAATTACACAATATTACAATAATTCTTTATATTTATAAATATTTTTTTAATTACATGATATTATGTAAATATATTTTCAATAATATCATAATAGAAATATAAGATACTATTACATATTAATATATTTATCATAATAATAGTATTAATAGAAATATATTTAAAATAATATTATTTTAACAATTTAGATTTAAAATATATAATATCTTAAATATGAATTAAATATTTAAATAATAAATCAATTATATTAAAGATAATTAAATGTTAACTAATTATGTAATAAATACATAATGCTTCCTGTATTCTCATGTACCTGAGTTCAAACTTTTTTTTTTTTACAATGAGTATTTTTCAAACCTCACCCATATAACAGAGGACAAAATACCTATTAACCCATAAATAAATAATCATTTGAGGAGACGAATTGGCAATAATCAAATATCGATATTTATCAATTCAATTAAGTTTTCTCAATTCACATCCATGTATCAATGTACCGATGCATCAAATAATGTTCAGCACTCTTATACATCGCGATGTGGATCAATATTTATGTCATATCAATGGTTAACTACACATTACCAGCCAGAAATACTTATATGACATCATATCAATGGTTAACTACACATTACCAGCCAGAAATACTTATATGACATGACAGAATGACAATCATATTAGATGATGGTGTAAAACAATTCTATACAGTCAATACACTACCTTTAATCTCTAATATAATTCAGCAAACAAACGTGTTCCACCGGTTGTCTATGCAGTATGTACACTTTAGTCTGATAACATATTCACAGTATAAAATTTGATTGGCTATTTTAGATTAATGGAAATAACTTAAATAAATATAATGAACCATAAAGAAGATTTTCAAATTGGCAAGGAAAATAGCATTTCAGAACTTCATGCATGAGCTAAAACAGCGTATATGTACAATGGGAGTATTTGACACTCCAAAACCAGCTGACATAATGAAAGATGTGCAATCCTGCAACTGAAACCAGAGAGGGACTAGTAACGTAAACTTGAATATAAATCTTGAAGACTGGTGTATAATGGCTGAGCAGCCTTTGGTCTGTCCACCAGACCTAGTAGAATATCAGATGTGGTGAGATAAGGATCACCATAAAACCGTAGATTGGCGTCCATCCGGGTTGCAACTATGTTCCCTTCCAATGACACTCCTACAAATGCACCTGCAGTTTAACAATACTTCATGCCGTTACTTGACTAAACTTTCAAACATTATAGTTTTGATAATAAGGTAAATAATATGCCATATAAATAAAAAATATCATTGGAATTTAATGTAAAACAGCTATCGAGGGATATGCAGAAATTTTCTTTATAAACTACCTTTACTGCAACTGTAAGTGTAACACATGCCAGAGCCCCTGTCGCCAGCACGAAGATCTGCCTCGGCCACTCTCCCAATAGGCCCTGCTGCAACACTGCAACCAGCCCCAAGAGAAAAATGCATGCGACTGCAGAACGTCTTCACAGCTTTCGTATCATGAAGAACAACTATAAAATCCATAAGTTCACCGCCAATCTAGAAATACAGGATAAACTCATTTATCAGTCAAAAAATGAATGTCTAACCACAATCAAGTATCCTTGAAGAAAACATTTATATTCTCTAGTCTCTACTGACTTCCTATTGTTGGGGTAATATTTAAATGGGTCATACTAACTTGTGCCCTAAGGGTACAAGTTAAGAAACTCAAAAGTATTGAAAAATAGGAAGTTGTGTTGAAATAAAAACCAACTTTAAACTTTAAAAAAAAAAGTCAATACACAATTTACAAAGCAGAACTTCTACATTTGGTTTATTAACTTGTTCCCTTTGGGTTTATTAACTTATTAACTTCTACATTTTTCCTATTTAAATTTTGATTAAACGATAGCTTAGAAATGACAACTACCAATGCAAAAGTGATTCATGCTATTAAGAACACATCAAAAATATCCGTGCCAATCAATTTGGGAATACGATAAAAGAACAAATTATAAACATATGCAAAATTTAAAACATAATTCTTTCACCATTTTTTTAATCAATCCAACACAGTAGTCATAAGCATAGTGATATAATTATATATATGAACTAAACTCATGTCTAATCTCCTCACCTGAGCACCCCATCCTAAACCCAAGGAGAATATAGCTGATGGTGCAGACCATGATCCGTCATGTCTTCGGGCAACAACCAAACCAGTACCCAATTTGTAAGAGACCAGTGCACCAGCTTTGATAACCGTCAAAATTGCAAGACCTTGGGCACTTTTGAGAACAGATAAAGGGATGGACTTCTCAGGATTGGATTTGGCCACCTGCCCATACATAAAGTATTTCAAATAAAAAGCAGTAAAAGTGTATATTCCGAAAAATATTGTACCTAGAAACTTGATGGATACAATAGTAAAAAACTCACTGCAGGAATTATAGTCCAAAAACATTATTATTCGGATATAATATGCAAATACTTATTAGTACTTTACACTGCAGCATTAGCAAACATCTAAAAAAGGAAAACGGGCATAATATTTAAAAAAGTAAAATAGCTTGCTCAACGAGATTACAAATTCAAGCTAGCAAACCTGACAGTAGTTCCTCAATGTATTAGATGCTTTATATATCTCATGCTCCATAGATAAACCAATAGGGAGATTAAGCCACCCTCTAGCACTAGTCCAATCCATGACATCATGCTTAGCTGACTGCACAGCATTGCTTATGGTGTTGATAAGAACGCCTTGTAAAGGATCAAGCCTATCATAGCAGGAATCACAAACCCTCTGAGGATTCCTCTCCCTGAACCTAACAGGCAATAAACACCGCCCCTTCGTACATATCCGACAGAAAATCCCTCCACAAAACCGGCAATGATGTCTTCCCCGTGTAAGCGCAGTAAACACAGCATTACACTGCATACAAACAGTAGTAGAACTATCAGGTAGCCACTCAGGTGGTTCAGCTTCAAGCACCTCCTTGTAGGAACTATATTCAGCCCCATTTGGCAGAAAAAGCGGTGGCGCACTCGGCGTGTACACAGAAGAATCAAGAACAACATCTCCATCATTTCCAGAGCCAAGAAACGAAACATTCGAACTCGGTAATTGCAAATTTTCATCAACACTTATAGCCTTGTTCCGTCCAGTCAAAATAGAAAAAATCCCAGAAAGCACGTTCTTCAAATTCACATCAGGAGTCACATTAGACCGATTAACACAACGAAGAGCCTCGTCATTTGACTCATAACCTCCATCAAACAATTCATCATCCTCATAAGAAAACTTATATGAATCATAAGATATCTCTTTGTTTGCGTACGTTGCAGCCAATGGTCCACTAGAGTTGCCAGACTCAGGTTCAGGCTCAGACCATGTAGACTCGCCACCGCGATTCATATCAATATCATCATAACCCAACTGGGGTTTCCCCTTTTCTAACTTAGAAAGTGAAGAGTACGCAACTCTACCATCAGAGGAAGCCATTCACCAACAAAACTACACTACTGCACGCACTTGCTTAAACTGCAATAAAAGTTCTAAAGTTACAATTTTTACATAAAGGGTATGCTAAAAATGTAACATATCATAAAAAGGAAACAACTTTACGAGGGAAAACGATGGTTAAAGTTTTGATTTTATTTAAATAAATAAAAAATTGAACTTTTGCAAACAAAATTAATGGAAAATATAAATTGAGCATCGATCGTGGAACTAGAATAGAGTAATTTGCGAAGAAAAAAAACAGCTATTGAGGAATGGGGAATTAGGGTTTGATAAGAAAAACGAAAAAGGGGGTAAACATGCTGAAGGAGGATTGGATGGAGAATAATACAAACCTTTGATTGGAAAGATGGAACTGGGAAGCTTGATTGAGAATCGAGAGAGAGAGAGAGAGAGAGAGAGAGAGAGAGAGAGAGAGAGAGAGAGAGAGAGAGAGAGAGAGACGTTGGTGTTGAATTGGGATTTTACGATAACTGAGACGTTGGTGTTGAATTGGGATTTTATGATAACTTGATTCAGCTGCAATCACAACCAACAAAACGCTGTCGTTTACACAAAAACATGTGTTTGCGTAACTGTGTGATTGACAAAGTATATTAAAATAATGTGATTTAAATGTTGTAACATATTCACACACAATAAATATTTATTTAATTAAAAATAAATAATTTTACAAGATTAAAAGGAAAAAAAACGTTCAAATAAAATTTTATAATTTATTAAAATTACAAAGAATGTTATTTATAATTTACAAAATACTTTTAGTTAATTATATTTACAAGGAATATTAATATTTATTTTGTATTTAATAAATTATTTATTTTAAAATAAATATATCAAAATGACAAAATATGAGAATTTTATTTGAAAATTTATTACCAACATGTATCAACTATTAAGAAAATGTATTAATAAATGTGAATTATTTAGAATTAAAATAATTATTTGATTAACAAAATTAGTTAGTTCATATAAATTTATTTGTATGTAAATTTAAGTTAAGAAAATTAGTTCATATATATATATATATATATATATATATATATATATATATATATATATATATATATATATATATATATATATATATATATATATATATATATATATATATATATATATATATATATATATATATATATATATATATATATATATATATATATATATATATATATATATCACTACAAAAAAATACATATATGATAACACTATATTACCACCGTCACTTATCTATCATAGTCATATCTCTATTTTCACGCGCATGTTTTTTTAATTTTATTGAGAAACTTTTCATCACGATTCTTTTAAAGAATCGTTGTCGTATAATTTTAGTGATAAGCTTTGAATTCCAACATCAATATTTTTTTATTTTTCATTAAAAATAAGCACGTGTTCCTTAACATTTATTTTTAATTTAAAAATTAAAACTATAGCAACTATGGTTGTTTCAATCAATCGTGGTTATCTGTTCCATATTTCACTACAGTTGAAGCTAACGACCGTTGTAAAAATATTTCCCACAAAATTAAAACATAATAGGTACTTTATTTTGTTCATAACACAAAAGGATACCCTAGCCAACGAGATGATAACAATAGCGAAATCTTCATTATCTTCATTCATTTCTGGAAACTAAATCATTTATGGAAGTGAAATCTTCACCATCCTCTTCGAATATCATTTTTGGTACGTGTTGGCTCCTAAATTCGACACTTTTGTTTTGATTGATGGCAGCCATTAAAAGCTGAAAGATGCTTTCGACTGGCTAAGCCTGTCGAAGTGCCCGTCGAAAGATGGCAAAATACTTAGAAGATTTCTTCCAAGGAAGAAGGCTGATTGCCTTCGACGTCGAAGGAGTTTTCGTCGAAGACGTCTCTTGATGAAAGTGTTCGATGGTCCAGAGTGGAGCAGTTTGAAATTCGAAGCTTTGGAGGGAAAACGGTTTCCAGCAGTTACTACGTGCAAACGTGCAAGGATCTGGAGCGTCGAGCATGGAGAACGTGCCAAGTGGCTTAATCTCGAAGCAGCATAACTGCCCGACAGTTACTTGGATGTTTTAGTATAAATAGGAGTAGACGTGTAGTTTCTCGCGTGTGTTCACAATCATATACATAGTCACTCATTTAGATTCAAGTACCCAGTGTGAGCGAAAGAATTGTTGAGAAATGTATGTGTGAAACACCAATTTTATCAATTAAAAGTCATTTACTTTTCCAGTATTTTACATGCTTTTCCCCTTTAAATTCCTGTCGAACCTTTACTTTAAAGCCTTGTTTAATTTACCAAGCCTTTCCTTTATACAATTTACTTGAAACATTTTATTTAAAGCCTTATCCACATTAATCAAACTTCAAAATCAACCTATGTCCATAGGATCAATCTGATCGATCCTGCGAGTAACCAAATAAGTAACCATTTGGAGGATCAGCGGTTGTTTACCAAAACCCAAGGTAAACAAATTGGCACACCCGGTGGGACTGTGTGTTGATTGTTAAATAATCTCATCTTTTCGAGTTGTATGTTATTGAGGAGTGGTAGAATATACACCAACGATAACAATACTGCCAGAAGAAGGGAAGAGATGGCGAATCCGCCAAACAATAATGAAATCCCACAAACAAGTGTGGGAGCAACGGTTAATATGACCGTAAGTGAAGCGACGAATGTTGGTTCGACACCAGCAGTGTCAATCACAACCACGGGGCCAATAACTTCGTTTACAGGCCCCAGAATACCTTTGGGAACTCCCCCTCCAAGGGGAAATATAGGCACAAGGCCAGTGGTTCCCCCAGGATTTATTCCATTCTATGGTATGCCAACTTCTGAAGTGGCAAGCCTGACGAATGCTGCGTCCACTTATTCAGACCCTTTCGTGAGTGCCTCTTCGCCACTCCAAGGCTCTGGAGTAGGCATGGCGAATAGAAATAGGACCCAATTCCTAGGAGGAACGTCCCAAGTAGCCCATGGCCTTACAAATGCCTCGACAGCAGTCTTGAGGCAACAGATGGACGAAAGCAACCATGATATGGTGCAAATGTTGGCACAAACTTTGAGTACAGTGCTAAATCCTCTAATACAAAATACTACTCAATCGAATCAACAAGTTACAGCGCAAATGACGCGTTTGGCTGACTTCTTTGGAGTACCCCCACCTATTCGACAGCCCCAAAGGGCGCAAACAAGAGGAAATCAGGGGATAATTGTGGAGGAAGAAACCACCATTAATCAGGCTCAACAGCCTGTAGAACAACCTGTCGAAGAACCTAGGGTAATAGCCCCAGAGGTAAGGTTAGTTAACAGAAACCAAAATGCTGACGAAGTGGTTCAGCATATCCAACACCAAAACATGGGTTTGGAAAATAATCTGGCAACCATGATCGAAAGGATCATGAATCAGAATGGGATGAACATGGGCTTTCGAAGGCCCAACTTTACGTCTCCATTGTCAGAATACGTATTGCAAACGGATTTACCTCCTAGAAGCAAAGTCCCCAAATTTACTAAGTTCTCTGGGGACACGACAGAATCAACTGTCGAACATGTGGCAAGATATTTGATCGAAGCAGGAGACATTTCGAATAACGAAAACCTAAGGATCAAATACTTCCCAAGTTCTTTAACCAAGAACGCTTTTACTTGGTTCACAACTCTACCCCCCAATTCGATCCACCATTGGACCCAGTTGGAAAGATTGTTCCATGAACAATTCTATATGGGGCAAACCAAGATAAGCCTGAAAGAACTGGCGAGTGTGAAGAGACGTTTCACTGAACCTATAGACGAATATCTGAATAGGTTTAGGTTGCTTAAGGCGAGATGTTTTACACAAGTGCCAGAACATGAGCTGGTCGAAATAGCCGCAGGCGGTCTAGATTATTCCATTAGGAAGAAGCTAGATACCCAGTACCTAAGAGACATGGCCCAACTGGCCGATAGAGTTCGACAAGTCGAACGCCTCAAAGCTGAAAAAGCTAAGGCAACGAAAACTCACAAGAGAGAAAGAATAGCGTACGTTGAGTTGGATGACGAAGATCTAGAATCCTTCGACGATACTTTAGCTGTCGAAGAAGGAGAAGTCGATTTAGCAGAACTAAAACAAGGGCCACCATACTCTTGTAAACAGTTAGTCCCCTCAAATGGGAAAAATCCCATTGGTCCAGACAGGACCAACGATAGGTTCCCAAAAAAGACTTATAGTTTTGACATCACAAAATGTGATGAAATATTCGACTTGCTAGTTAAAGATGGCCAAATGATAGTACCCCCTGGGGTAAAAGTGCCTCCTCTTGATCAAAGAAAGAAGAGAGGTTTTTGCAAATATCATAATTTCTTGGGCCATAAAACTTCTCAATGTTTTCTTTTCAGGAATCTTGTGCAAGACGCTATTGAGGAAGGGAGATTAAAGTTTGCTGACAAATCCCCCATGGCTGTCGACTCCAATCCACTGAAGGCTGAAGCCCACTATGCAGAACCCTCTGAGGTGAACATGATAGAGGCAACCAGGGTCCAGTCGAAGAAGCCAGGCATTACCATGGTCGAAGTCTCAAAGGACCACATCAACATGCCAATCTTTGGCAGTTTTTCTGGAAACTTATCCAGGAAGACAATTGAGGCTGTCCAGAAAGCGGTCGAAGACCCGAAGTCGAAGACTGCCGAAGCACAAACAACTGGACCAAAGCCCAGTTCCCACTTGGCCACTGAACAAGGCCAGACGGAGAATCTGGAGACATAAATGAAACAACTAACTCTTGCTACTAAGGATACCATGAACATCAACATGGTTGAACTTTCTGACCCTAAAGCTTCAGAAGAAGCCATAAGGCAAGAGCAGGCAAATAAAACGGCTTTCCCTAGGGAAAACGAAAACTTGGCAGATTTTTTACAAAGATGCCAGAAAAAGAAATCAGAGGTGATGCTGTGTCCAAGATGCAGTTCTATCTTTGATAAAAAAGCTGCTGAGCACATACAAGGCACCAGAG